GGAGAAATCTTGTAGTGATAGTTACCCATAGACCAGTCAAGTAAACTGGAGAAATTGTGTAGCAATAATTACTCATATACCAGTCAAGTAAACTGGAGAAATCTTGTAGCGATAGTTACCCATAGACCAGTCAAATAAACTGGAGAAATCTTGAAGCGATAGTTACCCATAGACTAGTGAAGTAAACTGGAGAAATCTTGTAGCAATAATTACTTGTATACCAGTCAAATAAACTGGAGAAATCTTGTAGTGATAGTTACCCATAGACCAGTCAAGTAAACTGGAGAAATCGTGTAGCAATAATTACTCATATACCGGTCAAGTAAACTGGAGAAATCTTGTAGCAATAGTTACCCATAGACAAGTCAAATAAACTGGAGAAATCTTGAAGCGATAGTTACCCATAGACTAGTGAAGTAAACTGGAGAAATCTTGTAGCGATAGTCCGAGCTGTCTAGGCACTGGCCCTGCTGATGTGATCAGGTAGGTAGGTAGTAGATAAATAAGTTGATGTTTTTTAGAAATGTTAGGGACCTCTTTAGCACATTATTAGTATATAGGTGCATAATATATCATAACTAATACTTTGATTGGTTGGTTTTTCACCTAGAGAATCGGATAGGGTGGTTTTTCGGCACATAAATTATTTGGAATCCTTGTTGCTCCCTACTATGAAGTACTACCGTACTTAAAATTCCTAGGTAAATTTACATAAAAAGAGATATACTTTCAATTTTATGACTTGAAAATCTGAAGAATATTTATAATTTTAATGACCACATGATGACTTAGTCGATCTTATTGCTATAGAGTTAGATCTTTGTAGAAGTGTGGAATATATAAAAACATTTGTTTGAAAAATCTTTGTTTTAGCAACTCAAACCTTGACTGGTGAAATGCTGGGAGGAGATCAAAATGGCCAACAGAGTGTAATATATGCCACAGCATACCCTGCTCAGGTATTTATTATTGTATCCCTTCTCACAGAGGAAGTATTTAACTAAATTTCATGAAACTTAGAACAGACTTACTTAACAGTGTCTACTTTCTGCTTTAAAAAAATATCATAATTTGACTTACTAGTTCTATCATTTTTTTATTTTGTCAGATTTCCAAACTTCTTTTGATAAAAGTATTTTCTTTGGTCTTAGAATTTAAATTTTTTGACTGCAGGCAATTTCAACTTGATTGATACAGAATAAAAAATTTTTTTTCCCCAATATCTTTCTTTACAAGTTGAAGTAGTCACCATTTCTGGCTACGAACCATGTAAAAGATTGACATAGTATTGTCCTTATCATTGTCAGGCTAGGTAGGGATCATGATACTTGCTAACAATATTCTTGGTTGGGTTAAATTTATAT